GCCGCCGGGCGCTCCTCGTTTGCTGCCAGCTTGCAGCATGTCCAGGTGCTTGATGCCACCGTGCAGGGACTCGGCCCGGTGATTTGTTCCCCCAAATTATTTATTATTTAACTTTTGCTTTCCGCTGAAGCTTCTGCGTGTTCCTGGTAAAATGTCAAGTTAATTTAAAGATGATACTGCACTCTTCTGACATTTTCATCCAGGATGTGACCGCATTAAGGGGAATAAAGGAGAAGAGAGAGTAGCTGACAGGCCTTTTACAGAAAATAAAATGAAATCAAATTCAGTCTTTTAGTACCATGTCCAGTCAGTAGCTGACACGGTACTGTCACGTCTTGTCTTACCGGTGGTGACACAGCGTAAGCAGTACAGAAACCATCCTTTTGCTGGGCAGAAAGCCTGTCTGTTTAGCAGAGCTGGGCAGAGGACCTGTCCCCTCCCGAGCAACACAGGCTTGCTGTGGGTAGAGCCCCAAAATGGCCAGGGCTTGCCTGGGGTCTGTGCAATGCCCGTCAGCCACTGTCTGATCCCAAGGTCTCCTCGGTTTCAGCAGAGCAGTGGGAGCCAGCGCCCCCACCCTCACAGCACATCGTCGGCTTCTCCGCCAAACTGGGGGCAGCTCAATGCTCGTGAGGTTGGGATGGGAATAAACCCCAAATCCTCACAGATCTGTGTGGAAAAAAAAGGAAAGGCGTAGCCGGAGCCACAGCGCTAATTTAGGAATATTTTTGTTCTTGTCACACACAACTTCCATACAGATTGTGATTATTTTTGTGAAACATCTGGTCCGCAAATCAAACTGTCTCTGGGGTGCATTGCAACACGCCCGTACACAAAAGCTTTCAGCACAAGCTGGAGTCGTTACGGAGGATCATCCCGGAATGTCATCAGGCAGAGTACATTTTCCTCCCTCCTTCCGAGGAGTGTGCAGCGAGCGGAGCGCTGCGGTGCTGCTGCACCCAGTGGGGCTTCCCAGCCCCTTTGCCCCCCCGGGCCACCTTTGCGCGATGCTCTTGGAACGTAACGTCCCTGCTGCTGCTGTCCCCAGAGGGTTTGTTCAGTGGAGGTGACGGGGTCTGCGTGGGGCCTTTAACTAACCTCAGGGACCTGAAACAAAGCAGAGGTCGTGTTTGTGATACTGCACGCTGGTCCCCAAGGCTGCTGTGAAAACGGCGGTGTGAGGGAATTCATGCTCGCCCTGGTCAGTGCGTGTGAAGCTGCCTGGAAAATCAGGAAGAATAAGAGCTCCACAAGTCAGTGATCAGATTGGCCTTTGTGTTCAGTTCAGAAAGCAATTTAAAAAGCAGTATATTGAATGGATATCTACACTTAGTGATGCCTCTTTAAATTTATAAAAAAAGCGTATTTTGCCGTTATTTTGATGACGTGCTGTTGTAATTCTCCTTACAATAGCCGTGGGTTTTTAAGCTCCAGTGTATCATGTGCTTCTGAAAGGCTTCGGCACTGCAGCTCGAGCATTCAAGTCTGTGCATTTAATTTTGCTGCTGGGGTTTTAATATTCCTCCATCGTGCTCGTTCTGTTTGAGGCTGTGGACTAATTATGGCTGAGTTTAAAGGGCCCGGTCTGTCACACTGCACAAACAGTATGAAGTTGGAGAGAATCCATTTGAAAAAATGAGGAGGCTTAGAGATGGAGCTGGTAACTCAACTGAATGTTGCCCAGATGCCTTCATGCGGTGATTTTATAAATGTATGTGTGTGTGAGTGTGTGCACACGCTTCTGTAGATACCTAATGAAGCAGTGAGTGCCTAAAAGTTGGGTGTCGTCCGAGTTCTCTTAGCTGGCAGGTAGCACCGTCTCTATCACCAGCCAGTGCACGTTAGCGTCCTCATTTGGAGAGCTGGCCACACTGAGCTCTAGTCTTATGACCAATGCTGAAAAGGAATCATCATTCGATGGCATGTGTGGCTCAGTAGAGGCCAAGGGTTCCTTTCTTGGATGCCTCCCTTAATTACAGACCAGTCCTCTGGTGAACGTATGTACACGTAGATTTTGAAAGACCATTGCATTGCTTTGCATTTCCCCGTAGAGCAGATTTTGTTGGCTTACTGATGAGACTCAGGAGTAGAAGCCTGTATCTTAAGGTGGAAAGTATCACGTTGAGCATCTTGGTTTATGTGCTTTCCTCGTCCTCTCAGCTTGGCCTCATCTTGTAAAACAGCCCTTTTTTCAGCACCAATTTATCCTTTTAAGTGATAAGCATCAACTTCGTGCCACTGTGCGACTGCTCTTCACGCCTACGGCTCAAGACTAGATCTGTGCTTTTTGGTGATGGCAAAGCCTTTCACTGGCTTCATTCAACCTTAGTTAAGTCAGAAACATATCAAGGACTTTCTTGTTGGTCCATATTTGAGGAGAAGAGATGATGTTTTTGCTTCTAGGATGTCAGGCACAGGCCCATTCTCTGGGGTGCTGTACGTCTGGTCTGGCATATAAACCTGGCTGTCGTCAAAAGCAAAGTTGGACCCAACAGCATGTACCTGGACTTCAGGAAAGCGTGCTTAAAGTGAGCCAACCCGACTTACAATTGTAGGTTGTCTTAGGAGCAGCATGGCAGGGCCGGGGATGTTCCTGGGGCTGTGAGGCAGAGTCTGGTGTACGCATGGTTTGACATGCATTGGTTAACTCCATACCAAAACAACGGTGACTGTTTTCTCTCTCCTTTGCCACGCAAGCGCTGTAGTAGTGTGCCTGTGTCGGGGGCATTCTTTACTTCACTTTAACTTGAGATTATTCCTCTTCGGGGCACCGTGCGTATCCAATCCTTCTTCTCAAAGAAGACTCTGGGATTGAAAAGGACTTCCAGAAAAACTCATGCTAAACTTTAACCGGTCTGTGTTTCCTCTTGCAACCATCCAAACCATTTGCTAATCATAACTTTGTCATTCCAGCTGCAGCCAACATGTTGTTTGACTTTGGATATTTGTTCGCACTTACAACCGCTTGAGAACTTTATTTTGTGTAACCTGTCGGTCTCTGTCCCCAGCCGGGGAAGCGAGATGCACTGTCCAGTTTGCACTGTTTCTTGACTAATATCTCTTCCAGCACGTGAATACGAGCTTGCTTTCAGCAGATTCTCTATTTAGTGTAAAAGCTGACATAACTTTTTTTATTTCAGGAAGACAGTAAATTGAGACTATTTATTGATGCTATCTCAGGAATTAATACTCAGTTTTACAGCCCTTTCTAAGCAACAACTTTCCCCCCACTTTCACCACCATTTTCCCCTTCACCATTTGCTTGGTTCAAACGAGGCCTCGTTTGGGGATTGATACCAGAAAACAAAGAAGGGCCCCGCTCTTGTTCTCCTCTCTGCTTTGGAAGGCTTCCCTTGCATCCTGCGCCAGAGCTCCCAGCAGGAGAACAAGAGCTGGCGTCTTTAAGCGTGCGTTAGATTTGATTGCCAAGATGAGAACAGCGTATGTTGGCAGTGGAAACAGGCTAATGACGGCTTGATAATCTGTTATGCAAATCTTGGTGCAGTTTGTTAAATTGTGCAGGGTTTATTTGTTTTGCTTTCCTCATTAAAGCATGTAGACCTTGTAAGTATTGTGTATTCCTTGTATGATTCTTGTCTTCACTGCTGCTTCAGAAATTCAGACCTGGGCTGTCCTCAGCTAAATTGCAAAGGGACGGGTCCTCCCTTCTCCACTGCTGCCTCTGAAGGTGTCAGAGGACTGCCCGTCCTGGGCCTCTCCAGGCAGCACGTGGACGAGGGGGAACGCCCGTGTGAATTGTCTGTCCTTGCCACAAAGCTCAAGCTCCGGGCTGCTTTGCAGACACACGCAGCAGAGCACTTCTCGACACTTCATGTGATTTTATGCATTTAAACCTTGCCTGCATCGAAGCCAGGAGAGCTGGGTGCTGCTGTCGGCCTGAGGGTGTCCGTGGGGACTCACAGACTCACGGCGCGCTGCAGCAAGGAACCAGCGTCACAGAGTGTGCAGAACCAGAGGAACAGTTAATGAGTTTTGGGGGCTAAATAAGCCAGTCATTTGGATAATGTGGCTCAATGTGATGTAGACCTATTGGTGTAGAGCAAATAACACAGGATGCCATCGAAGAACAGCTTTGGATTTGGGTTGGTCTTTAAAAACTGCCTGTTGCAAATGCCTGTGAAGAGATGAAGTGTTGCCCTCCACTGCCAAGGCAGCAGCCCCCCCCAAATTTCCAGTTATACATATAGAGTCAAGTCAGCTTCAGACTGGCAACCGAAAACACTCCAGTGTATTTTAATTACCAGTAACTGTTAATCAGTTAACTGTTGCGATCGAGGGAGTGGCAACATCTGTCTGCATTTGCCAATTCTAGAGTGGCGGTTTCTGCACTGAGGAACTCGTGCATCACTGGCACGTGGCTCGGTGTGGCCGAGGCAGAGTCACACTCGCGCTTCCAAGTACCAGATGTGGGACTTCTGGCAGAGTCTCTGGTTTTAGGATTTGCTTGCCATCTCTGCAGCAGTCTGTGCTCGGAGGCTGGGCCGTGCACTGATGTGCTGAGAGGTTCCCTGCGTGGGGGGAAGGAGGAGAAGAGGCAGGAGCGGGCCAGGCCCCGGCACAGCGCTTTGCTGAAGGCAATGTTTGAATGCATAAAAGCACTTCCCCAAGTGTCAGCTCTTTGTCCTGGTCTTGAGCTTCTGTTTTGGTCCTTACCAACGAAAGCATTGGTGTCAGTGTTCTCCCTCGTCTCCTGTTCCCCTGACTTTGCAACCACCAGTAACTGTTCTGGCAAGGTCCTGGAAAAAGAGAAAAATTTACTGTTTTCCTCAGGCTCATAGCTTTTGAACTGGAGGCATGTCTTCTAAACAGTGCAACTCACTTCAAATGCTTTTTGCCTTTCATTTGATTATTGCTTGTCACGCAATGTTCTTTGAAAGCTTGCTCATATATTATCTGTTCCATTTTTTCCATTTTCCCTTTTTTTGCATGCTGTTCCTCCTGTTTCTTCCCTTCCTCCAATCCTCTGTTCCCGTGTGTAGACACAACGGCGACGACAGAACCAGCAGTTCACGGTTGGTATCACATTCCTGTTTATCTTATTTCTCAGCGCTGCTGAGTGGCAAGACAAGCCTGGGAAGGGGAAGCAAAAAAGGGAAATGTGGTCTTCAAGGGAAAACCGTGTTTCAGGTGGACTGATCTCATAAATATAACATGGCTTTTAAGGCTGGAAAGTCTGTCTGCTCTTGTCGTTGCTGTTGTGAGCTTCGCAGCCGGTTGCTGCAGTGCCAGGCAAGCGCCGATCCCCCAGGCCCTGTGGCAGCGGTGCCGAGGCAGCGAGCGGTGCGCCGCTCGTCTGGTTACTGGGGCAGTGGCTCCACGCACAAAAAAGAAATGCAGCATTTGGAAACAGGAATTCAGATTTCAGTTTTTTAAGAGGCGCTTGAAATCTTGGGCATTTTTCATTTGTTTGGAGTTTCTAGGACAGCATGTCCAGCGGGTCTGCTGGCGTGGGGCAGGTTTGGTATTCTGGGGATGCTCCGCCTCGCAGGTCAGCAATGAAGTTTGCATTATTACACTGCAGAAGGAGCTTTCGAAAACAAGTAGCAACACTTCCCTCTCAGCATAGCAGTCTAGCAAACTAACCCTTCTCATCTGCTCAAGGCGGTCTAGCTAACAGCTTGACAGCTTCCCCAGCTTCCTACATTTTCAAAGCTAGCCTAAATAGTCCCTTCAGGCTGGAAGCTGAGCATACTGGTTTTTGGCACGAGCTAGCTTTTCAGCTAAAGAACCAAAACCTCTGACAAGTTTAATTAAGGCGGATCCATATTTGAGTTTGCTATTTTCGTTTCTCTTAACTCTGATAAATCGACTGGTTTTTTTTATTGACACAAATCTGTAATGCAGAGCAACCTCCTTTTCCTGCCTACTCCCAACAAGGCGTATCTTGGCCAGTGACAGAGGCGGGACTGAGTGAAGTGCTGGTCAAGTTGTGATGCCCTGTATGAAGTGGAGGGACGTGTCATTCTTGTCCCAGGTAGCTCGCCTGCTTGGACGCGTTTTCCCACTTGACATGAGAATCGGAAGCCTTCAGGCATGCTTCTGTTTCCTCTACCTTGCCGACCTCCCTATGTCCATTTAACGTCCAGATTGCACGTGGGGAATTTTGTAGATACTGCAATGGCAAGGTAATGAAAGGCCAAATGAAATCTTACCCCGTGCCACGCTAACCCTCCTGAAAGTCAGACAAAGGCAAAATGTTAATCACCCAATCATTAAGTCATGGGGAAAGCCTTGAAGAGCTGACTCTGAAGTTTTTACACGTCTCCATCGTTGCAGTAGCTTAGGCAGGAGGAGCTCGTTTCTTTAATGCAGTCCCCCATGGCTTTCGTTGCCTTCGTTCGTATTGGAGAAAGCCACAAAAGGCGTGTTTGTAACTCGAGGACAGCCTCTGAGTATTTCCATCTCTGGGGAGGAGGACCGCTGCTGTCAGGAGCCCAGCAGCTGACCTGGCAAGCCATGAGCTGCTGCAGACTTTCCTGCCTTAAAACCCAACCAGTTGGTACCGAGCTCCTGGCGCCCGCCCTCGTGGGGTGCTTTTCCCCTGAAGACTCTGGGGTTTCTTTCCAAGCTTGTGTTGCTGGAGTGTGTATGGAGTATACCAGGTGTTTCTGTATGTTGGCCATTTGTTCTTACCGATGTCCAATGGGAGTGAGCATGTCTGTGAATGACTAGAAATGCATGGCATGAACTACAGCCAAATGGATTTTCTCCAAAAACGATTTTAAATGAATTGGGGGAAGAAAAAAAGAAAATAATAATTAAAAAACAAACAAAGAAACAACAAAAAAAAAATAATAATAATAAAAAAAAAGAGGTTGATAGCAAAGAAAACAAAACATAAGGCTAGTGTGGAACCAGCACAATACCTTAATCGGGAAAGGGTTTTTGAGTCATTTAATTTTTTGGAGTGTATCCTAGAGGACTGGGGGGAAAGGAATCCTGTGTGTGTG